TTTTTTTTACCCCCCCCCCATCCTCCCCCCCCCCCTCCTTGCTTGTTAGAGAAGTAAACTGATGAGAGCACTGGATGAGGGTCTATCATCTATGGTTTGTTATAATTTGCTTTTTATGCAAATAGTGAGCAAAAATTAAAGCAAAACTGTACAAGTTACATAGATAGTACTATTTCAGTACTATACACGAACTTACTTACTAACTTAACCATAGGCGTACGGGAAGGAAAAAATTGGGGGGGGGGCAGAAAGAAATTTGCCCGACTTTTTCGGATTGTGCCCGACTAGTGCCGAAAAATTTTTTTCCGGAAAAATTTGGTCATTTTAAGTGGGACATAGCTGGAAATGTACTTTCCAGGCCTCTAATTTTCAAAATTATCTGAAGATATGCCCCCGGGTCCACGTAGGATGGTTCCTACCGAATTTACGTCATCTCAACACCAGCCCCCAAGCATAAAATCGCTCCTCGGTCCGTGCACGGATAATCAATACACCTTTCCGTGATTGAGACGTTAGCTTACGTTAAGCTTAAACTAAGGTTCCATACACGAAAACGAGGCTCTATAACCAAGGTAGCGTACTTTCTGGAAGGGTGTATCGAAACACAGGGTTGCATTACAGCACATCACAGGACAAGCAAGCAAGCAAGCAAGCAAGCAAGCAAGCAAACAAACAAACAAACAAACAAACAAACAAACAAACAAACAAACAAACAAACAAACAAACAAACAAACAAACAAACAAACAAACAAACAAACAAACAAACAAACAAGCAAACAAGCAAACAAACAAACAAACAAACAAACAAACAAACAAACAAACAAACAAACAAACAAACAAACAAACAAACAAACAAACAAACAAACAAACAAACAAACAAACAAACAAACAAACAAACAAACAAACAAACAAACAAACAAGCAAACAGAAACGTGTTACACCAGGCATTAGCGAGATTCAGACGTTACTTCCGCTACCGCTATCTTTCACTGGTTCATGCAGTACACATCTGATCATGATTGGTAAATCAAGTAAATTAAACGAATCTGATTAGTTAAGGTAGCCGCAATGAAAGTCAAATCTGAACCTGTAATATTTTGTAGAAACAATTCATTTGAACGACCAATCTCAATTATTAATCTTGAGTAATTATAACATTATTAATAATCATACCATGCACGCCCATCTGATAAATGTTAAAAAGTTTGCCTTACATTTGAGATAATAATTTATAGACAATTTATTTACCATTTCTTGCTTGTCATTGAAACCAATCGAAACATAAGTAGAATCTTTTCCAAACAGTTCAAATTCTACATGATCTTGTTGATAACTGTAAGTTACAAAGAAGTTGCAGTCTGTGCCACTGCAACCTGCAGGGTCGCGTAGACACCCTTTCGTCATTCCACAACCATCTGTTGTGACTGCTTGCTGTAAAAAAGATGAATAAAATAAAGACATGGTACTCATGGTTTCCCGATCCTATACTGCTGAAAGCAATCTCGGAATTCAGTGATTGCCCCATTACCCTCTTGCAGTAAACAAATGCGCGCATGGTTGGTTCGTTCGTTTATCACAATGAACGTAAATTTCAATTGAAATACTGAATCGATGAACTGATCGAATGTTTGATCGGATTAAATGTATGGTTTGTTTCTTTGTTTGTTGAATATCATATCGATTTTTATTCGGACGGGACGATTTTCACAATTCTTGAAAGGTAATTTTTAAAGATAAAGTTGCGAGTCAAGATGCGAGTATTTCATAGTATATACAAGATAGAGTGGTACAATAATGTTAATTAGAACATGAACTTTTTTGCATTTTCTTTCACCGCAATTTCCCTTCGAACTAACTTCCATCCAGTAGTGTTTCTGAATGTTCAGAATCACAAAAACGAATGGATGGGGTATCTTATTTCTTCAGAGCAAACTTTGTCACAGTTGTTTCAATACCCTCGGTACCGTATTACGTATATACTCACCCCTACGTTGCCAATATCGGTCGCTATTTTGAGATCAACACGTTGTGGCGAAGCACCGCGATGTGATTTTTCTTTAGTGTGGTAATCAATGTCACCACCAGTTAATGCACCTGTTAGTAAAAAGTCTATGTTTTAGCTATCAACTTATTTCTCGCAGGCTGTAACCCAATATAGAGATGCATGCAGTCGAGGCCAGCTTTCTGTATGCCATATGGCGAATTAAGGCACATAAAACACAAAATTAGAACTCAGTTTTAATGTGCACTTACCTTTGGCATAAAGCAAGAAAGCATCTTGACTAAGGTTGCTTAATTTACTTCCAGCTTCTGGGATGTATGGATGTGTGAACCTGCAAGGTTAAGATTTACCAAAAATATCTAATTCATTAACATATTTTGTAAAATCATGAATAATTAATAAGGCCACAAACAAATCACGACGCGGTATTTAGGTCACATCTGCACACTTGTAAACCGCATTAAAGATCAGAAAGTCGTGTTAGAGGGATGTTTATGAAAGTTAACAATACTAATTGAGAAGCATGGATGTTTATGAAAGTTAACAATACTAATTCAATTTTTAATAGCATGCTAATGAAGCGTGAGATTGTCCGCATGGGCAGTGAATACTAATAAAGTAAACAAATAAATTCATTTTACAAGTACGTTAAAATATTCGCAACTGATCTTTATGGGCAGCTGCAAATATTTTAACTAGTACTTAGAGAAACTGCAAAGCTGGAGCTGCAAATTATAACTGTCAGTGCTACTAATAAATTGGGACAATTCATCTCAGTTAACCAAGTCAATCTGGTTCTGGTAGAAATTAATGATCATTTCCTCTCAGCCGACTTATATAAATAGCTTGTATATAAATACATTTTGGTCAGACTTTTCTATTTTTCATTATATACTGTGTGTATGTTCAGACTTTTTCAAAATTATACAAATGCCCAGCTCTACACAAAACAGTATCCTTTGATATAACATCCGACAGTAACTATACGTATTTATTGCAACTATACGTATTTAATGCAACTATACGTATTGCAACTATACGTATTTATTAGGAGAAAAGAAAACTTTCATCACTAACTGTGCATGCATTAGGGCCATACGCAAGATTTTTTCCACCAGGGGGGCAGTAAAACTACCATTTACGTTCAAGCATGATGCGTAAACCATTTCACGCGTTTGTTAAAGGTGATCTACAGTCCGATCTGCGCATGTGCACAAATGAGCCCACTTTTTATGATGCAAACAGTTTAACTGTTTGTTTTGAGTTCTTGAAAAGCCTGATTGTTGTTTCTTGATCATTTATTATACTCTAGAAGCTTGAAAATATAAATAGTTGTCGAATAAAGCTCAATATTTTGGACAGAAAAAATGTAAACAAAGGCTTTGTTTACATACGGACTGTAGATCACCTTTAACGTTTCAAACGTAACGTTTACTAAATAATTATGTTACTTTGACCAATGAAATTAACACGTTTGAAGCATGGAATGTAAAAATTCGCCACGTCAACTGAAACGTTTTGTTACTTATTCTGGTGCGTTTACTGGCTTTAATTACAATGTTTTGTACGTTTGCAAATAAAAATGGAAACGTTTAAAGTTAACAAGTTTGGGATAAGTCACATTATTATCTGGTAAATCTTTATAATAAAGCCAGTAAACGCGCCGAAATAAGTAACAAAATATTTCAGTTAGGCTACATTTCATGCTTCAAACGTGTTAATTTCATTGGTCAAAGTAACAGAATTAATTAGGAAACGTTACGTTTAAAACGTGAACAAACGCGTGAAATATTTCACGCATCATGCTTGAACGTATATGGTAGTATTACGAAAGTCACCGAACTGTGGAATCGCATCAAAAATTCGTATATCACCACTCCCACAAACGTCTACGACCGCGCCTACATATTTTTGTATGTTTACAATTCTAATTTTAAACAGCCAATCGACGTTTAATTGCAATTGTTACCAAGAACCTGATTGGCTGTTTAAAATCAGAATTGTAAACATGCAAAATTATGTAGGCGCGGTCGTAGACGTTTGTGGGAGTGGTCGATATACGAATTTTTGATGCGATTCCACAGTTTGGTGACTTTCGTAATACCTACTACTGAAATAAGTACCCAAATGTCAATGCTTTTAAAGCCATATCAGTTAGATGCACGCTTATGGCTGTCCCATACGGAATCATACATTCTGTTTCACAAGAATATAAATGCCATCTGACTCAATACTTTATAACAACATTATACAATTAGAAAATTAAATTTTCCCGGGGGGAGGCGCGTTGTCCCTGCTGCGTACAGCCTGGCATGCACACAAATCACACAGTATCATATGATCTCAAAAGAGATAAAAAAGTGGCTTGTACTTCAAACAAAAGGATACGTATATGAGGCGTTAAGGCCGTTTTCCACTTCGCCCGTACCGTACCGTAACGTATCAAAAACGTTTTTAAATTTCAAAATTTCGTGAATGTTGATTGGTTAGTACTTCCGTAGTACGCCAAAAAGTTGACTTGCGACGAACTTTTTATTTTGCGAATACAATATTTTTATACGCGAATACAACCGGAAGTACGTGGTTTTATAAACCTCCTTTCAATCTGCGCATGCTCACCAGTACGTTTCGCTACGATACGGGCGAAGTGGAAAATCGGCTTAAAATCCCATGGGAAAATCCTGAGAGAAAACCGAATACAATAATTCATACCTGCACTGAATATTATTGCTGAAAAATGATTTGCCAGTAAGAACAAGATCGTTTGCCTTAACATAAAACATATTTATGTATCATTAAAGGAGATATCTGTATATGAAAGTGTGTATCAGTATCTCTCCCTCTATAATCACTAATTATCACTTACTACTTCAAGAGGAGGACGAGATTCCGCCGCAATTCTTGAGCTTCTTATAACAACAGTGCTAGATTGGCTAACCCTTTGGCACACAACGGCGTCTGTGTCAGGCTAAAATACGAAAGGACAACTTGAAACACCCGTTATAGACTATCAAGAATGTATTATCAATTTTGTTTCCAAGCATGAATGTAAAACTATTATTATACGTATACAGCTCTGCTTAACCATCATCAGTATTGAACCATTACATGATCTTAAATACCAGTGTATTGAACCCATTTGTGAAAAGGAACAATTCTATATGTTCAATAATTGTTGTTTCACTTTGTTCCATAAAAAACACTGTTGCTACATTATTGAATCCACTAGTAAACAAGAAACAACAATGAAAACAACCTTGCTAATTTTTCATAAATATCGTTAATATTAATGAAATAAAGAATACTGCTTCCTGTTGTTGGAACAAAGGAAATAGAGTCACCACACATGTTAGAAATTCACAGAAAGATTCCTAGTCAGACTTAAAGCTATGAAGAAATAGGGCATCATACCATTTCGTCGTTGTCACTAAAACCAATTGCCACCCAATCAGCCTGCTTTCCAAACATTTCGAAGTTTACATGACCACCTTGGTAACGGTACGTTGCCATGTAGCTACAATCTGTCCCACTACATCCTATTGGATAACGTAAACATCCAACTGTCTTACCACAACCATCTGCTGCAAGTGCATCCTGCAGAAAATAGAAAATTGTTAGCAAGATAAACTGTTGATAGTGCTACCTAGCGAAACAAACCTTTGTTTCCTTTTCTTTTCTTTGTTAACTCCTGTTTAACGCTTTCCAATTCGAAAGCTTTCCCACTGAGAACAAAGAAGGTGTTGCGAGTATGAAAATAGCTCCTTCAAATTTTGGAATAAAATCACCCAAAAACTACCATGGATCGAGGGGTTTCCTGTTTAGCTGTATTTTAGCCTGCACTGAAGTGCACACCTAGTCTCGTCGTCCTTATATCGTCCGCCATGCTTATAAAACTCGCCTGATACCCGAAAACCCCTAGTGCACAAAAAAGGCAAAACGAGTAAACCAAATTGATTGATTGATTGATTGATTGATTGATTGATTGTTTGATTGATTGATTGATTGATTAAAAAATTCCATAGCAGCTAAAAAGCTGAATTGCGTAATTAAAAAGTTATTTACAAAAATGTTATATTGTTATCAATATTACTAAATTTAAAAACAACTGTCAGTATCATCTAAAAGTTTTTCTGCGTTCTTCCTAATGCAACTCTGTACGATAAAAGTGTCTTGGAACCTATTAGTTCGATATTTCGGCAAATCAAACATCCTAGGATGGCGTAAGTTATATTTAGTATTTTCGCAACGTTCTGGCAAAAGATCGTAAAGTTTATGATACGGATCTTTGAGAATGTTTTCAAACAGGTTAGAACACAATTTGTCGTGATGGGTTCCAAGATCATCCAAGTTAAGAATTTTACATGCGTCTTTATATGGATAATAGGGGAAAATAATTGATAGTGCTCTTTTCTGTATACGTTCCAATTCGACTAAGAGATATTGTGGTAAGGAATAGTGGAACACAGCCGCTGCATAATCCACAACAGATCTTATGCATGATTTATAAAATAGAGCAAGGTCTACAGAAGGAACATTAGCTCTCTTTAGCTGGATTAAAAAATAGATTCGGCGTGCAGCTTTCTTAATAATTTCAGTTACATGGTTGTTCCATTTCAAGTTATTGTTTATTGTGAGGCCCAACAACTTAACGCTTGGTAAGATTTCTAATACTTCGTTATTACTAGTTAATAGAGACAACTCTCTTGTACTCTTCGAAAAATCTATTCTGCATGAGCTCTTTGCACTTCTTAGCATTGAGTTGTAAGTGATTTGCAGTTGACCAACCTCCAATTTGATCTACTATTGACTGAGCATTACTTTCTATTCCTTTTGATACGACTTCGCTTGCTGTTGTGTCGTCAACAAATGTCCACAACGGATGATCGTGTAGGACTAAGTCATTGATCATGACCGCAAATAGCCACGGACCAAGTTTGGTACCTTGTGGTACTCCTGATGGTACTGATCCCCATTGTGAAAAGCAATCTTCGCTTAACTTGACTCTTTGGTAACGGTTGGATAAAAAGTCAGCGATCCAGTTTATGATGCTGGAGGGTAGATCTAAATTTTGTAATTTCCGTACAAGAATAGAGTGATCAATCATATCGAAGGCCTTACGATAATCAAATAATAACACCCGAACCATAGCCCCATTTCCATCTGTTTCTTTAACCCACGTGTGTATCATGTTGATTAAAGCGATACTGGTCGACGATTTTGGGACAACGCCAAATTGGTTAGAATCAATAGATTTAATTACAGAGGGTTTGATAAAATCTGACACTACAAACTCTTCCGCAATTTTGGATAGCGAGGAAACCAAGGAGATCGGCCGGAGTTGTGTGCCGACATCCATAATTGGTTTTGATTTGAGGAGGGGGAAGACATTCGCTAACTTCCACGAGCGCGGTACTTTTTCATCGTGGTAGGACTGGTTTAAAATAACACTGATTGGTTTGGCAAGGGCTGCTGCGTTTTCTTTAAGAAGCCATTGTGGTAGTTGATCAGGGCCGCTAGCTTTAGCTTTACATAACTTATCGAGAATTTTAAAAACTCTTTCTTCTGATACTTGAAGGAATTTTGTGTTATTTGAAGCGGATAATGTTGAACCTGGGGTAGGATTGTTGGGGCTGAATGTATCCTGAAATCCATGGAGAGGAGCAAGAAATTTGTCATTAATCAAGTAAGGTAATAATAACGCATGCGTGCATGCTCTAGATTATTTTAATCGTCTTAATGAACCCTTCTTGAACCTGGCTGATGCAATTTAAAGGACAAGGGTACACTAAATCTATATGTGTAATATTTTCAGTTACACTTCAATTACAAGTACAATAACAATATAGTTGATAATAAGAATTATCTATTAAATGTTCATGAGCCTCTAGTTAAGTTCGATTTGGTGTATTCAATCCAACAAGTGCTCGATAACTAGCCTATAAAGGCATAAGGGTTAGTTTTTGGATAGAAAGGATATTAATCAGATGGTCTGGAGAAAAACTGTCGAAGAACAAGAGATAAGTGGCAGGATGTGCGTTTCAGCAGACGGTAGCAAATTCTGGCTAACACCAAAACACCTTCAGGGAGGAGAAGTCAAAACGTAACAACATTCGTACGATATACAACTACTATGATATCTACTTACTGATGCTGATCTGGATTCTACATTTCTTGTTAAATTCACATGATAAGCTGAAACACCACGCTTCGCTTGATGATAGTCAAGAACGTGATTTTGAACTGAACCTGAATATGTAGATTAGAAACATATCAACATAATTTATATATTGATAACACTGTAAATATACACATATAATTAAATATAATTTAATTACAACTTTTTAGGGAAAAAATTTTTCCAAACGAGTACGTTACAATTGTTTTCCAGCGCCTTTACCTCAATATTTCATACCAAATTTGGGTATTTTGCCCAAAAAACAAATATCTTGCACTTTGCACGGAAATATTTGACCCAAAAAAATGACTGGGACCCAACAAAAATTTTCTAGGGGCCCAGAGAACCTGGGGGCCCGAGGCAATTTGCCCTCCCTGCCCCACCCCCTTCCCCCCTCTCGGCGGCCCTGCACCTGATCACCTTTAGCAAGTATAAACCACATGAGGTTATTGTGAATATCAAAGAAATTTAAAAATATAGCAAAGTTTTGAGTTTAATAAAAAATGTCGGTATCACGGAGTAACTTTCACAGTAACTAAGGATAAAGTTCAAAATCCAGTCTTGAAATTGTCATTGTGGTTCAGTGTAATCATAGACAGTGTCCTGAATCTAGTTCATGTTTTCTTTTTGGTCATATGAACTTCGCTCGAAAGGTAGATATTTGTTTCATCGTTCTATATATTTCAGGTAGACGAATCGGGTGTTCTACAATAATTACTGCCCTCCCTAAGTTACTATAGATGCAGGATCATATACCTGTGCCATGAATAAGGTAAAATTCGTCATCCAGGTTACGTAATTTACTGCTATTCGTTGGTCGAAATGGATGAGTAAACCTTGAAAAAACAGAGTTTGCATTAGTATTTCAATTTTGTGGCGGTATAAATTTAATTTAAAGCTTATTTAATTTTTAATGCAGAATCACAGCATAGAGTATTTTAAATCTTCTTAACCTGCACTGAACTGAATTTTGATCCATTGAGCTGTTGGTCAGGTTCAAATAGTTGGCCTGCAATTATATAAACATTCATATCTACACACGGTACTCTTGAGTACACACGGTACAAGACAGTAATTTACCTGAATTCAATGGCCTTAAAGGAATCTTGTTTCACATACCTCTTCGAGTATAGGAGCACTCTTGCTTGTTAATTTCGCACTTCTAATTAGAAGAACACCATTGTTCACGTAACAGATGACTGAATCAGTGTTGATCTGCAGTTGAGAATTTTTGCATTTAATTAAGGTTACAAGACAGCCTTTTTGGTGTTTTGCGGAAAATTGCTACTGCGCGCTCAAAATCAGTCCAATTCTCATCAAATTTTCACCATGCAAAATATGGTAAAGTTGTAAAATTGACAAACAATAAAATAATGTAAGAATTATTCAGGAAAATCTTAAATCGCGGTACCATTACGCTTTTGAGTTGTGTTCCTGCTTGTTTTGAGATATATTTACGGAAATATCATTTTTATACAGCAAAATAGTTGTTCTAAAAAATAGTGTTCGGAAATTTTTGTTTATTTCGTCATTCCGCTGAAATGGCGATTTCTTTGACAACTGCAATATATTTCTGAATCGTTTGAGTGAATTACTCCTTATTATTGGAATATCCAAAATTCAGTTTCAAGGAGAACAACTCGTTTGAAAATCAGTAATTGTCGTAAAATTCTTTGGGAGAAAATTGAATTTGAATATTACATTTTCAATGTTTTTCTTATTGCAGCGAAATATATTTTATTAAATAACTCTGCAAGTTTTCAACATTTTTCTTTCAAATTTGGTCAGATAGCAGAACTAGTCTAATGCTTTCATGGAAACCAATAAAAAGTAGGCAAAATTAACACTCAAAAGGTGTTCTGTAACCTTTAGGAATTTAGTTTTTCAAAGGACCACAATACAATACAATACAATACTGCAACAGAATAGTAGAATATTTAACAAATACATAACATGCATAGTATGACGCCATAACGTGATCGAACAAAATTCGATACCACACACCACAGCACAGAAAAATACAAGACAACACAGAACATTGCAGGGACCGCGGACGCAAGGAGGGAGGGGGGTGGGCATGCAGGCGCTGAATCCCTCACAATAATTTTCATGAGAGAAACGCGTACAGTAGTAAAGTAGTAAAGTGAATACTAAGGTTCTATATTAAAACTTGTCTGTAGATACCCGCCTGCACGATACCTAAGTTCAAACATTACAGGTCAACAAAACATGAATAGTAATCAACAGGCTGTGCCTTTGTGCCCTAGGGTTGAAACCTATACTCTGTATACGATTGCCTACTTAATTATTTTTGCTAATTTTCACCTTTTTCTTACTAACTTAAAGTTTCTCTTTCTCATCCTTTTGGACAAAATACATTGCTGCACCCTCACTTGCCATGCGCGGAAAGATCTTATACTTTTTCTATATAGTAGGGCATAACTATTGAGTAGAAAATGTACCATAGGCAAGCGTACTTATGTGTCAAATTCATTATTCGATTTCCAGAGCAGAGTATCGATCGTTTAGCGTGATACCGTTTCTTATAACATACTAATTTGTGTAATTTTCCCTTTTCTTCAGTCATGTGTACACGAGATGATTTTATCATCAGGCAATTCACATGGCTATTTCATACAAAATTATTGTGGAAAATAGCTGGAAATGTACTTCCCCTGCTTGTAATTTTCAAAATTATCTGAAGGTATGTCCCGGGTCCCCCTGGGTGGGTTCGCACCGAACTTACGTCACCTCAGCACCAGCCCCTAAGCATAATATCGCTCCGCGGTCCCTGCACAGATATATCAATACACCTTTCAGGAAAGTACGCTGTACGCCAATTTGTTTTCGTGATTAAGACGTTAGCTGTGTAACTAACGTCACATGCACAAAAGCGATGCTCTATAGCCAAATTCATGACGTACTTTCCGGAAATTAAAAATGTTATGCCTCACATTTGAGATAATAATTTATAGACAATTTATTTACCATTTCTTGCTTGTCATTGAAACCAATCGAAACATAAGTAGAATCTTTTCCAAACAGTTCAAATTCTACATGATCTTGTTGATAACTGTAAGTTACAAAGAAGTTGCAGTCTGTACCACTGCAACCTGCAGGGTCGCGTAGACACCCTTTCGTCATTCCACAACCATCTGTTGTGACTGCTTGCTGTAAAAAAATGAATAAAATAAAGGCATGGTACTCATCGTTTCCCGATATTACTGAAAACAAGCTCGGAATTTAGTGATTGCTCCGTCACACTCATCCAATAAATAAATGCGCGCATGGTTCAATGGTTGGTTCACTATTGATACGCGTCCGTTTATTACAATGATCGTAAAAACCAATTGAAATACTGAATCGAATGTTTGATCCCATTAAACGTACGGTTTGTTTGTTGATTACCAATTTTTACTCGGACGAGAGGATTTCTAAAATTCGCCAGCAATATAATTGCATGTTGATTGGCAACGTTTTCTATCGCGAGTTCAGTCGATAACATATTTTCTTAACTCTTTCTCGACAACCGGTTTCGTATTACATTTCGATACAATTTTTCTAATATAAATATCTCGGCGAGTATTTACCCCCCTTTTAAATAAATGCCACCATTGAAATCCTCACAATATAACCTTTCGAACGGGGGGTCAAGTGCCGTCAAAACATTACACAAACCGAAACAATCATATATTTATACTCACGGCTTCGCCAAACATTCAAACGGGAAAAAGAGAAAAAGTTGAATATATTCTAAAATTTGGCGTCATTTTCTGAAAGGATATATGTGCAAAATACTCTTTGTATTCAAGCGCTTTAGTGTAGAAAGTTTCGTATGAATACGGCGAGTAGAAATATTTATTTTGAATTTTTCAAGGTATCGGGTATATACTTAGTATAATTACATAGGTGATTATTGAAAATTCTCCACGCTGATTGGTTGCCGTTGAGGTGATTATTACGCGATAATCACCTAAGCGATTTTCAAAATGGCGGCCAAAGCCTTTTTGTCAATTAAATGACGAAAAAATGTGTATTTTCTTATTTTTTCCATATAATCACCTATGAAATTATACTAAAACAATTATTCACCTCAGGCTCGGTGATTATCGTGAATAAAACCTCGACTTCGTCTCGGTTTTTATTCACCGATAATCACCTCGCCTTCGGCGAATAATTGTTAATTAATCTTTGATCGGGTTTTACTTGCACGCGCTTGTATTACGTAATACTTGGCCAATAAGGAGCTCCCTTTAGCCGGGATGACGTCAAACTTACGCGTATGGGTGCACTTTGACCTGTAGAATCCATTTCTGGCATTTCCAGAGTCACGCGATACAAACTACGCATTGTTTTGACGGTTTTTCGTCGTATTTCCGGTTTGGGATTAACGCAAATTCGGGCAGAAATGCAAAATTTGGCAAGAATACTCACGTTTTAAAGATAGAAGCTTGAAAATAACACTATACGTGTTATTTTTAACTGCTTCATTCATCAAGAATACAAGAATGAGCATACGTCTCGGCGAAAGGTATGTCTATGTTTATAATTTGTTAGTAATATTGCGTAATT